ATTCATCACCACTTGGTAAAGCAGCAGCGGAAGCATTGACATACTTACAAGTAACATTATCAAACAACAACAACAACAACAATAATTCAAAAAAACTTAAAGTGCAAACAAGCAAAGGAAATTATTTAACAAGTATAGATTTTAGTGAAGAGTTTGATTTTGGTGATGGAGAAGACAAGAAAAGAAACCTGGATGATCTTATATTAGGAATCTGTTTATGGCATTCCACAAATATTGACAGAAAATCATTATTTGATAGTAATAATGGTACTGGTAACAATAATAGTGAGATTGTTGTGTTGGTGACAAACGATAGAAATCTTCGTGTTAAAGCAAGAGCAAGAGGAGTTGATGTTGTTGGAGTACAAGATCTTTATAAATTGATTTGATAATGAGTGCAAATATTAGAATGAATTGATTATTTTATAATTTTGATAAAATTATTTAAATATATATTTAAAAAAAAATATATATTTATATTTTATGGAATTGATGAAAGTATTGTTAAAGGTAAATTTTTTAATATTTAATATTTAAACATTAATTAATATTAAGATAATTTTTTCATGTATACCTTTTTTTTTTATATAATTTCAAAGGTGGATCAGTTTCTTTCCTCCTTCCCCTCCTCCCTCAAAGAAAAAAAATGACAAACCTTTACATAATCAATGATAGAAAAAATCATTTTCTGAATCAAGTAAAATATAAGTTATAATATAATCGTAACTTATTTTTTAATTTTTTTTTTGTCATTCATCCAAAATCAATCAATTCCTTACATCCATTCAAATCGTTCAAAATTAATTATATAAAAAATATAAGAGTGAGAAAAATTAGATTTCATTTCTTTATTCCTTTAAAAATTTTTTTTAGAAGATTATGGATTAGTCAACTATGATTTGAACGATGCTATTCAATCCACTTAATATTAATAATATATTGGAATATAATATATTAACACAAAATAAAATAATAAATATATAATATTTTATAATTACAGTTATATTGAAAAAAGCAAATGTAAATAGACAATGATATTGGCTAAACCAAGAAGAAAATAAGGAAGGATGTTGATAATGATGATATAGACTTTTAGATCAACGCCTCCCAAGATCTATAATAGATTTATCATCATTATATTAAAAAACAGATTTTTTATTGAAATTAAAAAGTTGTTCGATTAAAGATTTATCCATTAAATCAAATTTCTGTCCCAATTGTTTCACATTTTCCATTACCAACTCTGTTTCCAAGTATTTTATATATTGTATGCTGCCATATATATGCTGTATATATTGATTGATATAAATATATATTTTCTATTAATAATCATTATCACTAATATTGTTACCGCCATTATTATAATATTGATTAAAATATAATTTCAAAGTTTTTGCATGAGTTCCTTGAATATGAAATGCATTTGATTTAGCAACTTCCCAATCTTCCTCATCAAGAACAGTGATTTGTTCTTGTGCTAAATAATCAAGATATTCAAACATAGTTATATCCAAATCAAATGTTTGTTTAATCTTTGAAATCAAGTCAGCAAATCTTCCATCAGAAGGGAATGGTAAATGTTTAGATATTCCAGAAAAATAACAAACCAATGAAATCTAATTGAAGTGGAAGAAGATAATTTTCTGATTAATAAAGAAATA